CGGATATAAACATACTTGGAATATTTGAAAGTTCGAATTCTTTGAAACTACCCGCACTCTTCTAAGTACTTACAATATTTAAATAAAAAAAATATGACTTAACTTATTAACAATTTATCTACGACCAAAAGTTTTGGATTCTTTCAAGGTACCATGTTTTAAACCGTTAAAAGTGTTTTATTTAATTATCTACTACTCGTTTAAACTAAAGACACTTACCTTCAATCATTTAAAAATATTGCAGTATCTTTTTACTTGAATATGTTCACAAAATAATTCAAGCGAACATCTTTTAAATATGTTGTACATTGTATTAATAATCTGACCTGACACTGCAACTTTGTAAGCTCTCCAAAAATATTGTACGGACTGTGAAACACAAACTCTAAATAAATTGTTTAAAACCCGTTTTTTTTTTATTAAGGTATAGTAAGTAGTTGTGTTTAGTTATCTCATATCAGTTTTGATGCGTATTATAAAAATCTAATAAAAAATGTTTCCGTTAAATATAAATTAGTTAGATAATCAATTTTAAAGTCAGACATCTCAAGAAACGGTTAAAACTCAAACTTAATATTTACCACTAGCGTAATAAATACATATTTATTGGTTTGTCTTTATCAAACTGACTGTTACTTTTACTATTGTACCTTCCCGATTTACCACAAAGCTAATATTATGTTCCTTTGGACACCGGTAATCGATTCTCTTACCACAGGCGGTAGCTTGGTATCTACCGTATCCATGATTTTTTATTTATATTCTTCTCTCGTCTTCGGCGTCGAATAGTATTTTTGGGCATCATATTTATTTTTGCAATTTATTATAGATGTTACCTGTAACGTCGTTTGCATTCCGGTAATCTTAAAGATAGAAAAATATTGTCGCGGACAGTTTTTATATAATTTTAAAGATGAATCATTCTTTCATGTACATATTTTTTGGGTATCTTGCATCGTTTTTGCAGGGCACCCAACGGAAACCCTCAAAGATTAATAAATTTCTCTGTTTTTTTTTCAGTTTCAACCCCTATTAGTTGCACCGTGATATTTTATAGCATAAAACCTTGCGCGATAAATGCTCTAACCAACTGTTCTGGGTCCTGAGATTGGCTCGTTCAAACAAAAACCTCTTCAGCTTTATAATATTAGTGTAGATAGTATAGCAACTGTTGAAATAAGTACATTATAATGATCATATAATCGAATTTTAACTTATTAATTACCAGTCGAAATATTGCCTTACATAGTTACTTTTCTGTCTCATATACGCATACAAAAGCAGCCAGTCAGCTTCAGATATGTTGACCAAAGACTCTTTGATATTCGTAGTCCCTTGTTCTTAGGCGTCGAAAAACGTCCTTTCAAAGACATAAGGCTACGGTTGAAAGGGTTAGTTAGGCTTTATACGACCACTAAACAGGACAAAACGTGTGGCGTTTCAGGAAAATAGAAGCCTTCGAAGTGAGTTCCGGCGTAACACATGCAACAATACATGTGTGACCGACCGCGCCATATGCAATGCCGGCTTATGAAGTACTCTTTGGGGCTGGATTCAGCCGGACATTGCAATTTGAGAGCCAATTATATAGAGCGCAATAATATTCATATTGGTCTTTTGTTTATGCATGACGTATGGCGCTAGTTGTCTCGTATTAAAAAAACGATTTGTTTCCCTTTACTGTGACTTTGCATAGTATACACCATACAAAAAAATAAAAGAAAAGGTAGGGAAAGGGCAGGCAGATCATCAAATTGTACCGATATTCAGCCAGTCCCTTTATTACTAAACTAATGTACGAGTAGCACACATTTCTATAACTTCGACAACAAACATTCACTTCTTTTAACTTAAAGAATTTATTTTGTAATATTTCTTAAATAGTTTTAGCACGTATTTAACTTGATGGTTGGTGTAATACCCCAGCTATATAAAACCTACATAAGATGCGCCGACCTATTTTGGCTTTGGATAATCGGAAATCCACAGGCTGATATCGAAACACGGCATAATATTCACGGCATTATCACCTGTGTGTTCTTAAAGATTGTGTTTTTTTTTAATAGTTTAAGATAAAACGAATAATACTACATCTATGCGTATATTTCAGAAAATACTGCCTTGGGGCCCCATAAGTGAATAATCCCTCTCTGAACGCCGTCTGCGGTTATGTTCTTATTGCACCCCTTACTAGCCGACACCGACGTGTACTATAGATTAATCAACGTGTTATTGTAAAATAATACGATGTCATGCAACTTACCAGCGAGGTTTAAAAATAAAGGATTCCGCAAATCCCGGCTTAGTACCTCGCATGAAAATTAAGTAGCTTAAGTTTGTAAAACGATAGGTCTAAAAAGTCTTATGTACCTTTCTAATATTAATTACACTGCTGCTACTACTTTTTAAGAAATGTGAGATACAAATAACTGCATGTAATAAAAGCAATGTATGCCTAGTCTATCTACGGGACATTGGTTTGATTCCCACCGTTTCCAGTAATTTTTCTGAAACATGTTCAACTTTGTCAAGAATCTGGATTTTAAATGGATGGTAGGAATGTCAAATTTCAGTCCGGGTCACCAACCACCGTCAATACAGTTGAAAGCCGTAAAAGTTTATATAGGTATAGGTCGACAACTCAAAGACATATTTGATATTACATAGTACCCACTTTATGTAGGTACTATGCAATATGTTATATTGCATGGTACAAGACATAATATAATGTGGCTAATGTACTTTTTATAAATTATCGAACGAATAAAGATCACGAGTCTAAGCTAGTCTAGGCTAAAGATTGGGTTCTGTTGAATATAGGTATTTGGAATAAGTATTTAATAATATCTTATACCTCCCGGAGTTTGGAAGTCAATGATGTTATTAAGAAAATTCTAATTCTCACAAACATAACGTCCGCAGTGACTATCAAGAATTTAGCACAAGCCTTTTAACAACTAACAAGGTGAAAAAGTGAGATGAAAAGCGCTCTTCAGTTTCCGGCATTGCAGTGTTTCAATGCAGTTTGCAGCTATGCTGTGTGTGGTCAGTTACCGCGGCACAGACTGCGTATTTTAATATCTCCAATTATGTCTGCAGATAAAATCTAAAACGTCATACACATTAAGCGGAATTGAAATTAACCTGGATTAAATGAACAAAGAACATTACGAATGTCTATAACTGAATTAGGTCGACAGCATATCTGACTTTGGTGTTAGATTATCACCATCATCATCATCGAGGTAGACCCTTTGATGTCTGTTCTTATTGTTATAAAATGTAATAAGCTAGAACTTCATAAAAGCGTAAAGTGCATATTTAACATAAATATTTTTTATTTTAATAATATTATTAATTACAAGAGTGTAATGTAATTACCGTGTCTTTTTTATTGTTAGTTAGATTATCTTGTTTTTCTTTTCGGTTCTTCGGAATCGACTTACTATCGGCGTGAACGACATTATATATACCAAACACAATTACCCACAATTAAACATACTATTAAAGATACCCATTGGTATCTACACTAAAAAAACACACTCATTACTAAATAAATATTTACACGGCTTTGCCGAAATCCAATAACATTTTAATGGTAAGTTTAAGTAAATTTTCACAAAATAAATTCTACTCAGAATTCGTGTGAATATAGGTATATTTATTTATAAAATAGAGATCTTCATAAAATAATAGTGATCTATCCAGACCTAAAATAAATTCTCACAGTATTTTCAACTCTAGTTGTTGCACATAACTTCTTTAGGAATATCAATGCATTATTCTAGAGTTCCGTTTATTTGTCTCGATTTGAAAGCGGCTGTGAAATTGTGTTATAAAACCTGATATGTGCATCGAGTACTGAGGACAAGGGCCGGTCGGCCTGTTATTAATAAAATCCACTTTTATTACCTTCCATACTTCGTCTGCATATTTCAAATAAAGGATCAGAATCTTTAATTGTGAAATAAGGAGTACCTTTAATAAAATTTATCTAGACGCTTTGTAGCGTGGAGGGACGCTCTCCGTCCGTATATCTATTGCTAATAAAAGTTTTAGCGAATTCTTATAACATTTATGGTTCACTAGAAATAAAGAAATACCAATTACAATAGCTATAAATTAATAAAAATAATTTAATTCCCTTTAAGATACGATTTGGGTAAAATGGTCAGCTGATGGTGTGGACTGTGGACACCCGGCCTTCTGTAGGTGTCCCCGATAGAAAATAAGATACGAGCCTAATCCATTTCTTCTTTTGCATTAAACCATCTTTTACGTTTGCTGTAGTCTTTTTAAACTTTTTGGTACTTAAGGTACCAAAAAGTTTAAAAAGACTGATTTTTTTGTAAAACATATTTCCATGATGGTATAAAACCAATATATAAATATTTTTTTTTAATGATATTAAAAAGTAGGTGCCTAGTAGTAGGTGTTTTTTTACAAAGGGCTAGGCTAGGCTGTTCTGCTTTTACCGGCCAGCTGCACACGTTGAATGGGGAGGCTTAAATAAGTCATGGAATTATTGAATTTATTTATTACGTATTTCCATAGACATGTATAAGTTGTATAGAAGTTGATAAAATAACTTATTTATGATACCTTAATTCTTATTACACCATGCGTTATTAAGCTAGCCCTAGATAAGTAAAATCACTGTCGCCTTGTAAAAATCCCTAATAATAAAATACCTAATCCTTAACTCTATTAGTAATATTTAGTCCAGTAAAAAAATCATTTCTTTTTACGGAAAAGATAATTTATGAATATTTGGTGGTAAATATCAACCTCAATCTGTCATTTGCTGTTTGTCACTGTCAGATAAAAATGACAATGACATTATTAAATTAGTTTCTTATCATTACTCCATAAATGACATTTCATAAAAATTAGAAATGGGGATGTTGTCGATTCGATTGAAACCCAATTTTTTGGGTTTATTAAAATTTTTAAACAGTATGAATTGGTTTATAGTGTTTTTTAGTTTAATTAATTTATCAATGTGTATTTATGAAGACCAAATAGGAAAATTTGACTGGTAAACTCATCTTATTGGTATAGGTTATAATTTGTACGACTTCATCGGTCTATTAGATATTAATTCGAATTTAATAATTACAGGCGTCAAACATACGTTGGCCGAATAAAGTTTGCACAATTTGATACAGTGTCTACAGCCAAAAAAATAATAGTGGCTACGGAGGAAAACGTACTAGCTGCACTCAACTTAAAGACAGGTAAAATTATGGTTTCATATACAAAATGTTGTAAAGAATGAATTTAACTCATTGTGGTGTAGTACGTTCAAATTTTGCTTTTACCTATATTGGCAAAGCCAAATTTAAGCAAAGTATATGTATATAAAATTTTGATTTCATTTCATTTCATAGGGCAGGTTATGTGGCGTCACGTATTTGAGAGTGCCAGTTCAGGTGATATTCAATTACTGCACTTTAGTGATGGTGATAAAGTGACAACAGTGACAGGATCTAATCCATATTTAGTAAGAGGATGGGATCCAACCACAGGTTAACAATATTCTCACATTACAAATAAAAAATTTAAGTTTAGCATACATTAATATTAGGCTAGTATTCCATATAAATATAAAAAATAAAGTTATCCATTGTTGAGAAATAACCAATCACAGATCCTTCCTTCCTATATTGCAACATTAATGAATAGTTTATAAGGCTCTGTTAATCCAAAGTCCAAAATTAAATAAAACACTATTACTTCTTAATGTGCTTTGTTCTTAATTTTAATTTGCCATGTCAATTATTCCTCAGGTGTTCTATTATGGGAGTGGCCAATATCGATTATTGACACAGAGCGAGCACACTTGTCAGAATGGTGGGTGCAAAATGGGATGCTAGTGCATCTGCTACCTGCTTTTGGATCTCATTTGGAGGTCACAATGTATAACCTGATGACTGGGTCCAATCGAGGTGCAACATCTAAATTACCTACTGTATGGACTAATGATGGGTAAGCTAATCTTTGACATCATAAAAATGTCTGTATATTTTCCAGTTTTTCAACAAATAAAAACTGGAAAATACACAGACATTTTTATAATACTTTATTTTTTATATACATGATATACATAGGACACTGTTACACAGGTAACTGTTAGATAAATACATATTATACAAACTTTTCAATAAAGACAATAAAATTTTTGACTGCCATATTTTTTTATTGCTTCACATATGTAATAGTGTGCAAATTCATCTATTGTTTCTAAAAATAATTTTTTTTAAATGATAAATGTTTTATGATCAAAAATAATTCTTTACAGATGTATTCTAACACCACCATACTACACTTGTATATCAGGGAACATGGGAAATTATATGCTTCTATCCCTAGATGTCACATCTAATGCTGTTCAAATAATTAGCAAGCCTCTATCCAACTACTTCAGTGAAGGAGAAGTTATTGAAGGAAATTTAAGACCGCTTGATGGAAAAACTTCTCAACCAGGATTTATTATTGATGACAAAGCTATATTATTGATTAAAAATAATGAGTTTGAGCCTTTAAACGTAAGATTGGCTGATCAATCGGCAAGTGCAACATTTATAGATGCAATAAGTGGACCCATGTTGGTACAAGCTTGGAGTGATGAGAATAAAGTAATTATTTTAATATCTCTTTGATTGTTTTTTACAGATAAATAGTTCTTGTTAACTGCAATAAATCAACTGCTAAATTATTTAGGTTATAAGAGATAAAAGGTAATGAGTGACTTTATTTTATAAATTTTCCAGGGTCTTTCAATTACTGCATACAACATTGCTACAAATACAGAAATAACAGATATGCAAATGTCAGGGCCGAAGATAAATATTCCTGAGGCAGAACTTCTAGGAGTACTTTGTATAAACACTGCCAGGGAGCAGCCGGCATACAGGATACTTCTTAATGGTGCTGATGATGCTGTTCATTTGTTGCAGCAAGGGGGTATGCTAATGATATAAATATATATATTTATTTATATATAATAAACATAGTATCAAAAAAATATATTTAATTGTACTACCAGATACCTTACCAAAACTACATGTTTTCCTGGGATTGCAACCTACGATAAGACAACAATATAGGCCCTGACATAGCATCTACGTGAATTAATTTTCAGGTCGCGTAGTGTGGTCGCGCGAGGAATCCTTAGCTAACATAGTGGCTGCAGAGTTTGTCGACTTGCCAGTTTCTGAAACAGATGCTGCTCTTGAATCAGAGTTTGATCAGAAAGAAGGTTAGTGTATTTTTTATGTTCTCTCGACGGTTCACATACGACAATTTAGGTTTCAAAGAAAATGTGTATGCCTATAAATACATAAATATACAAGAAACAAACTATCAATAACAAAATTTGAGTACATATAGGTACATTTTTCGTTCATTACTTATTACAAAAACAACTGTTATAAGAATTTCTCCAGATTGTTAAGAATTTACCGTATTTTCATTAGTTATCTAATTATTATTTTTCTTTCCTCTAGCGATCAAAGTCTACAGTAAGTACCATACAAAATATTTGATGATTTATAACGTCTCGATTTTAGAATGTGTTATGCTTTTCTTTTTTTTTAAATAAATAATGCTATTCCCAAATGTTTTTTTCAACTTTATGTCTTAGTGTGTTTTTTACTATTCTATGGTCTGATGTGTTAATAATTTCTTGATATATTGCTATATGAGAGCATGAGAGTGGTTTGTATGTTGTGGTGTATCTAGCAAAAAATAGTTAATATCCATAAAAAATATATTGTTAGGTTGTAACCTAACAGATAAGGAGCCGTTCCTAAGTATTATAAGAAAGATATGTTCAAGTTATATTTATTAAAATAATTTTTTTTTTACAAATTTTTAAACTTTTTGCACTAGTAGAATGTATTTTTGAAATTATATTATGTATTTGCATTTTCGAGATCTATCCTGCCAAGACACAGAACACAAAATGGCGTATGCACATGCTCTCTAGACACTGTATGCTTTTCTACACATTAGTATAAAAGACCTTCTGTGTTAATTGAAAAGGTTGTTTATAGGTTCGGTGTGGGCGGCTTTTGTGCGTCGTTTGCACACGCAGTACCAGCAGCTCCACACATTAATCCAGAATCTTCAGGGCGAGGGAGCAGTCCTCGATACCCCATCTCCACTAGTCAGGGATTACTTTAATTTGCATAAGATCATCGTACTCATTACTGATGTTGGCAAGGTAATGTTCGTGAACCTTATCCATGTGTAAATGTGTCTTTGTTTGTTTATCCTTATTTTTCCCGACTGAGCAAATAAGTCTTAAATACTGTCTGTAGTGTATGCGATCAGTACTCATTTAAATAAAACACTAACTGTTTACTACTCGCGTAAACTATAGACAGTATTTCATTTTTATAGGTTTTAAAATTTAAAGCTGCTGTAAAACTTTGTGTATCCTTAATTACAGATATATGGCATGGATAACCTATCTGGCGAGATTCTATGGCAGCGGTACGATGGTAATTTGAATACTGAGTCGGTCGTGATGTTCACCAGACGGTCAGCGAGGCATCCACCTCATGATGCCTATGTCACTATTATTGGAAAACATGAGGTATATTCTTGTTTAATAATTTTTGTATTGAGTAGTAATTTAGTCCTTTCAAGAGAGTATCAATAGCTTTGCGTTTATAAATTTCCTTAAAATAAGGGTATTTTTACTCTTATTGTTTTATCATTTACTATAGTTATTCTCTAAATGTTCATGCCTTGTTTGTAGATAAAATCCATATATAGAATGTAAATTATCTTGAATTAATGATCTTGAATTACAGCATTCCAGAGCAACAGCACGGAACGCTGTGGATGCCGGTTAAAGTTATATAGTGCCATCATGTGCAAACTACTGTGAAACTAAAAAATGAAAAATTTTGGTGGCCTATGATATCAATATAAGAAGAAAAACTTTTTTTTACAGGAAACAGGCAATGGTTACGTTATAAGTCTTAATCCGATTCGCGGCACTTTAGTTGGCGAGAGAGTGTTACGTTTGGACGTGCGGTTACTACAAGTTGCGCTGTTACACACCGTCGATGCGGAGAAACTACACGCTCTTATATTATTGGACGAAGACGAAACTGTACAGGTAGATATTAGATGATATATTAATGTATTTTTGTGGAAGTAATATATACTTCATATTAAAAAGCTGAAGAGATTGTTGATTGAACGTGCCAATCTCGGAAACTACTGATTCCAATTTAAAAATTGTTTTTGTATTGATTAAAGCATTTCTCGAGGAAGGCTTTAGGCTAAAAGATAACACAGCGACATATAGGAGCGAAGATAGGGTGGGAAAAGTAAAAAAAAGGGGGAAACCATCTATATTTGAGCGTACCCGTTGCATTGGCTGCGAAAACGGTTCAAGAACTGTTTGCCCAAAAAATGTGTGGAAGAATGATTCCGCTTTAAATGATCTAAATTATTCGGCACTTTTATTCTAGATGAAAGGTCTTTATTGGTAAAGACCTAATATTGTTTTTAAGAAATGAATGTTCAATATATGATATGTACCTCACTAATATATATTAAATATTGTTTCTTTCAAGGTGTTACCGGTATCGGCTGCACCCTTAGTTCGTGATCTCTACATGTATGTAGCTGATAGAGAAACAGGAAGAATGCAGGGATACGCCCTAAAGTATGATGGAAGGGTAAGAACTGCTATTATCGTGAATTAGAACGGCTTGAAACGTGAATTATTCGTTTATTCATTTGTAGCTACGGTCTGATATTTCCGATGTTTCAGTTGTTGGGCATCACGGTAGTTGGATCACATACATCGGTATTTTTAGATGGATGGGATGCTTCTCGATAAAAATTTATTTATTTTCACCTTAGGTGAAAATAAATAAATTAACAAACCCCGCGTTTCCGACGATAAAAATTTTTTTTTATGTGACAATATAACAATATTATTTAATAACAATTTGTCCTTATACAATATATATTGTTCGCTTTTAAATAATGAAAGATTTTATTGAACTGATAATCATCATTGTACAGTATTCGTATACCTAATCCTATAAGGCGATAGCTTTTCTTAAAGAAAGTCGCTGTTAGCATATAAATTTCCTTTTTAATTCTAAAATTTTACTGTCGTGTGAAGATAATAGACAATTCATTTGACAGCAAGTAATAGCGCAAAGGACGTGGTCGTTGAATTTGGGCGGGGCAGGAGCTCGTATAGTGACGATAGCAGGCAAGAGTCGAACGGAACGTGTCCATTCGGCGGGAAAACCTCTGGCAGACCGTAGCGTACTCTACAAGTACTCGAACCCCAATTTGCTGCTTGTTGTACTTGAAAGACCGGACCCCACTCATAAGGGTATGTTTATGGAGATATAATGTCAAATCAAGGTTTTGAAATAATTGTATATGTAAGCCTAGCCTATACGATGTCTGAAAATTCGGAGACTTAGGGTTTCACAGTTAGTTCTTACTCACAGAAATAAAAGTTCTCTGAAAAGCTATTTTTGGAAGTAAAAACCCTTTTCTTATGCTTTAATATATATCGTACAGTTTAAGAGTTTGTTCGGAGTGTCTCCAGTTCCATATTATGGCAACCCTCTCTCCAGGGTGACTAGTTTCTTCCAAGGTTTAAAAGTGCTAAAATTAAAGTTTATTGTGCAGACCATGTGTGTCATTTATTTATTTAGTCATATTTATATGTCTTTCTTAAATCTACTTAAATTATATTAGCTTTTAGGTAATTAATTCAATCATTAAAACATTCCATTACCATGTCTTTATATAAAACTTTTTTACACAGATGTGGTAACAGCTGTGGCGGTTGACGCCGCTTGTGGCGCTGTAGTGGCTGCGTCCACGCATCGACGCGCGCGCGCTTTACCTCTAGCTGTACATTCGGATAACTGTTTAGCCTACCTTTACCGTAGTGATAAGCATCGCAGGCTTGAAATAGGTAATTATAATAATTTAATATGTTTTTAGGTATTTAACCTTGCAATCAAAGGGTATAAACTTTTTTCTCGATATGCAAAAACCGTGACAAAGTAAACCTCCTAAATCTTCGACTATTACGGTATATTACAGTTTTTTTACGCTAAAAACAATGCCTTAAGAGTAAACTAGAACGAGAAGACTGCTGTATGTTTTCTTGTTACTCTTTTTAATAAGTTGTGTATAGACGTATTCATTTTGGTCTAATTTTTTATTCTATTTAATATTACGCAGGTTTTATAAAGCACTTTTGTTCCGTAGAAGAATATTTTATTTTATCCTATTATTATTTATGTCATAGCTACAATGGAGCTTTACGAAGGCAACGAGCGTTGGCTACCGGCCGGCACGCAGTTTAGTTCTTTCGGATGTGCCCGCGCACCCAGCGTCGAGCGCCAGGCCTACATCGTGCCCGCGTCGCTCACTGCGCTAGCCTTCACCAGTACAGAGAAGGCTATCACTGATACGCATTTATTAAGTAAGTGATAATATGTATATTATGAGTTGACATAAAACTGCTTGATCTGAATGCAAAGATATTATTATATACATATATGTTCTTTTGTATTACAAAGTTATAGCGATAGGAGTACAATTTCAAATTTGAAAAGTACTTTACATACTTTTAGGTTTTATTAATACTAAAGTTTTTGCTGACCCATTGAATGATATTTTAACGTTTTATTTTATAGTGGGTCTATCCACTGGTATGTTAATGGAATTACCCTGGGCTTACGTGGACCCGCGTCGCCCGATGACCCTCTCGGGGGAGCCCCGTGAAGAAGGACTGATTCCGTACGCCCCGGAGTTGCCTTTACCCGCAGAAGCGTCACTCAATTACAATCGGACCGTCCAACGAGTACGGGCGATATACGCCGCGCCCTCTGGTCTAGAATCGACAAGCTTGGTTTTAGCTACTGGACTTGGTAAGTTCCATATACAGTTATGAGAAAAATCTACTCTTGGTCATTTTACTTTAATATATGCCTTTTTATGAAAGGTAACTAATAAATAAATAAAACACTTAACGATTTAAAACGATTAATAAATTAGTTAACTTAGTTTTGAGTCAGTCATTACGTTGAGTCTTTTCAAGTAACGTTAAAATATAGAATTGGGCTTTTTTTGTAATAACATTAGCCCAATATACTACAAATCTCGAAACAGTTAATATGATAACCTAAGTGGGCATGGGCCAGACACATTTCTGCAACTATTACACTGATTAATATTCCTGGATTAGGAACAAAACCTCGCTAAGCTATCGCTAATTGAAATGTTAGACGACTCCGTAGCAATTAACAATTTGCGATCTATTTGCGATTTTTCAGATTTATTCTACACTCGAGTAGCACCATCGAAGACCTTCGATCTCCTTAAAGACGATTTCGACTACCACCTCATAAGTATTGTGCTGGCCGCTCTCATAGTTGCGACCTACAGCACGAAGTATTTCGCCTCTAGGAAAATGTTGAAACAGGCATGGAAGTGATGTAATGTGTTCGTTAAAGGGAATTTGAACTGTATTTTGTTTAGAAATGTTTTATAGTATTATCATTTGAAAAGCAAGAGCTATCTTGTATATTGAAGGATTTTTGTCTTGTTTTAAACTGATTTGTATCTCGCATAAGCTAATCTTTCTTTTGACTCTCATAGTGCCTAGAGATAATTAAAACTAATTACCTAACATTTTATTTATTTTAAATATCTTAATAACAAGCTCTTGTTAATTAGAAACAAGTTATTTAATAAAAAAACATTGTTATTGTACGAATTAAGGATTTCTATTCAAAGGCTTACACAGTATAATAAGACTTCACTGCCAAGCTTTACAGTTCAAATTCCCTTGTAGTTGTAAAAGATGTGATTGTGCGTGTGTCTAAGAGTAAGTTATATTAAATGCACCGGCTAATTCTGCCAAAGCTAGAGTTTTAGGTTTTACGATTGTTTGTATAATCGATACAAATGGAAAAATATGGAAAATATTATTCACATTGTTACAGGAAAGTTGAAAACTAGATTTCTAAAACTGTAGTGACTAGATCATTGATAGCCCACAGCTAACCAATTCCTTACATCATTCTATAAACACCTATTTCACTATCTATAAGTCTTAAAATATTTCATACTTTGGCATAGTTGAGTCGGGTCTCTTGTAAACTTCTACAATATCCTTTCGATATAATATCAAAAATTTGTAGCATTTCTCACATAATTGGACACCTAATCGAATAAGTAGCACAATTAATATAGTAAATACATTTTTTTATGATTGGTTCACATACAATAATGCTAGTTTGTAAAGCTGTTCGCCCTTCGTGAGAAACCGTTATAGACGTTTTGGTATCACAAGCGACTCTATCTTCCGGAAGAAAAGATTTCTTATCTTTTCAATAAAACACTTTAACGGTTTAAAAACCGATATGTATCGAAGTTGGTATTAGAATGGACGAAGAAACAGATAGCGCTAGCAGTAACAGTTTTTTACTATTGTTTAACGTCTATTTTAATATAATTCTTCAGCAAAATAATACTGATTTAATGAAGTGATAACTCGTACTAGATTGTATATTGGTATCTCGCTTAATTAATTCGTATATCACCAATTATGTGATAGATAATATGAAGATTTTAATATAAAAAACATAGTTAGTGCAATTTAGCGATAATGTATTTAGGGGTGGTTTTCATATTGTGCTTATTTATTAGACCATTCCAACAGTTCGGTTATTTATTCTCGCATGTTTATGAAGTCCTTAGGCAACTTTTGTATTCTCAGGCCCAATTCCACCAAGAAATAATGATATGGAGTATTGTTGACTATCACTAACTTAACAACTAAATAAAACACTTTCTTTTGAGGCAGTTATTTTCTCCAAATCTCACCTATGAGGAAACAGATGGCGCTCACGTAGAATATTTGACTTGGACATTAAGAATACACTCCATCTTCAACACTCCCATGACCACGGCTTCTACAAAGCATCCAAAACGTCGTTAATAAGTTAACTATTATATTTCGCGTTACAAACCGTTACCGTAAAGTACTTTATTAAAATGAAATGAAACTATTCGCGGAAACTACAGATAAAACATAAAAGTCTTACTATGTCTCGGTGAATTTGGGCCCAAGTAGATTTTATTTTCTACTTTGTTAAGCGTAATTCCTAGTGTCAGTGCTTTAAGGTGTTACATCGAATCTAATTAATACCTAGACTTTCGAGTCTTTTGCTATAGTTTTAAGCATTTAATTCATTGAATTATAAAGCTGCGCGCACACTGTGCACGTTGTGGCTGGGTTAATACGATATATTTTTATAGATCGTAATAAAATAAGACGGCGTTTGCGAGCAGCTTTAAATTTTACGATACCTCAGAGATCATAATTTCTTTAAGTTCATGTTACAATAAATAGATTTGGAAGTTACTATAACCAATTTTAGTAGATGTATGCCCCTATACCTTTAAACCGCATAATATAATTAAGGCTAACACAATCTACTATATAGTTCTATTGATTCATAACAATAACTGAGAACACCAAGTTTTATACCTATTATATTAGTAATATCGCTGAACTCTATAAAGTTCATAGTCATTTTAAGTCCTTAAAATACAACACTTAACGGTTTAAAAGTGAAATATATTAACTTAAAAATAAGCCAACTTTTTTATATTTCTCGTATTAAACCGTTAATGTTTTCTACCACTTTATTTTTTAATTGTGCTTCGTTTTCTGATTAAAATGAATTATAGAGCTCAGTGATGATATAGATAATGTAAGCATTATAAATGGACCCCGAGTTCAAAGATTCGATACTAGCAGTAAATATAGTTGCTCATTATTGTTTTTGATATTTAAAAGTAAGGTCACAGTATTACGGGCTTTTATATCAAACGTATGAAAAGGTCGCGACATGTAAAGAGAACGCTGGCCTTGAAGATGCGCAGTACTGGATTAGTAGGACAAATTGATGCTCAGAGCGGCGCACGCGCAGCTTTGACACCGGTGTTATATATATATCATAGTTATATATATGTAAGTGGCGATAAAGTTACTGATCAGTATTTTGTTCGTCTAAATTACATCTTACCTTGTATTTCAGCGTTTTTTACATGACGCGACCTATATATATACTTGTATACACCAGCGAAGTGGTGTTCTTTGTCATTTGATAAGGGTGTTGTGAACGGAACAATTTTTTTCATATTATTCTCGGATGCGGTTATATTTAAGAGTGAATTTTGAGGGAAATGGTATATCTTAAGTTTCTATTAATAGTAAGGACTAGTTATTGGAATATCCTCCACGCTAAAATTAATTAGAGAAATATAGGGTCACATTTTTGACTATTAATATGAAATTCTTAGTGAAGTTATAATTTAAACTTATTAGCCTTACAGTGTAACCTGAATATAATAGATTTTCACAAGTCTAGTTTGCAGTTCTATTAAAGCCACGATTGTTATACATCAACAGCATCAATGTACAAAACTTGTTGCAAATATAGCGTATAAATATATCGTTTGTTTTCAATGACATTGTTTGTATAAAATAAATCTGAATTACATACTGATCGATTACTTTTATTTCCCGCTAGCTGTGCCAGCAACCCCCGTCTAAAGCTTTTCTCGATAAATGCTCTTACCACCACAAAATACGAATATAAGATTTTTTCAATTTGTAGTTCCTGAGATTAACGCGTCCAAACGAACTCCGTAGCTTTATAATATTAGTATAGATGATACTAGTGGAAGTATTAGGTTTTAAATACTTCAGGTAAACCTGTTAATATTAAAATAAGTCAACCTACATTTTAATCTTGCAACTTAAGAAAAATCTGTAAATGTTTCGGACGGAAGGGACACGAGAGCCTCATTACCTACTTGCTTAAAGATTCAATCGGCCAGTGAAATATAAGAGCTAATAGGACGAAAATATCATACACAAGGAATTGTAGATACAAAGAGGCAGAGTTTAAACCATTTTATTGAACATCGAAAATAGTTTTTATGTTGTTATCAAATTCCTTGCTATCAGCTGAGTAAGGGGTGCCCGTGATGGTAGCTAATTGTATGAATTCATTTTTTGGTGGCTCCAGGTTTTCGGAGTTGTTGCAGAATCGGCGTAAGTGAAGCCACGCTGCGCCATAGTTATATTGCAGGACAGCTTTGAAAAACTGTACTGATAGTGCCTGAAACAATATCACATAATTAACATGTGTATTAACATTGTCTTTCGGGCTGTTCGGCCGACGTGAGCGAGAATAGGTCAATGATGCCGTCCACACGTGATGGCGAAACCTCGAAAACCTCTGCTGCGATATGCTGAGCGATGGCCGTGAAAGCCTCACAAAATTTTACATTTTGTATTGTTTAAATGATAGACGGTAGCTCTATTCGTAAGAATGCAAAATGTATTAGTTAAATTTAATTATAAATTATTTTGACTTGGTCAACTTACAAATTTCGCGTTTTAATCGGTTAAAAGTGTTATATTTAAATATCGTAATACCGTTTAATCTAGGCGCTAAATTATACACAATGAACTGACAATTACATTAAAAAATAATTCAGTAAAACAAAGTCGGTATGGCTTACTTGAAGTGGTTTCGGTTGTTTGTTAGACAAATAGGGCTGGGCACAGTCCATAGCTTCTTCTAGAGCAGTTTCTGGCAGACTAAGCTCTACAGCGAGAGGCGCAAGCGCAGTGAGAGCTGACAGTTGAAATTTGTAGCGCGGGGAGAAGCGATAGCTTGAACCAGCGTCTTTCAAACGACTCATCGCCGCGAGCTTTTGCAATCGGGAGTATATTTGCGGGAGCACCTCTCTGAAATCACATTTTAAATCAATTTCATAAGTTAAGTGATCCGTGGTGCGAATCTGCACAAATTATATGTTGTAGGACACATAATATTGAATATATTTTTAATTTATAAAGCCAACTTGTAAAAAAGTACTAACCTTTTTCAAAAATTATATGCTTCTAAATAAAATCGATCAATAAAACGGTAACACACAGGTGCACACATACAGACATCGGGATTTCATTTGACTTTAAAGAATGATAGAATATAATAATTTTTACCAAAAAAACTATTTAGATTTAAAAGAAGGGTAGACTTTGAACCGTCATCTACCGAGTTCTGTGGTGTTGCTTGAACCTGTTGAGCTACATGTCATACCATACATGTACCTCTCGCGTAATGTAATTTCAACCTTAACGCTTGCGTATTAAGGTTGTAATGTCTTATGCTTCGCAGCTTAGTTTAATATTTATTCTCGATTTTATATTGATATCGTGCCATCATGTGAAAAATATTAATGATTTCAAATACTAACTTTACAGTTCGATGCATAATAAATTCCTTGGACAGCGTAGCAAGTGTTACTACTAGATCTATAGCTCCCTTCACGATAGTTGTATTGGAATCCTCAAATCGTGTTACAAGTGGCGCCCAACACAAATGCACCAGAGGCAGTAACTCATTTTCGAAGTCTCGGAGTAACGGAAACCCGAGATTCAAAATTTCTAAAGTCATGATAGCATCGTCCATCTTCTCCGTCGAAATGAAGTTGATGCAACGTTTCAAAATCATTATCGTTACTTCAATGTGTTTCGGTAGCGGTGGTGTTTCGTCTGAAAAGATAGACTTGAATATAACCGGCCTGTCCTTCTGGGTCACTTATGTTTATATAGCTTTGGTTGTAAGGAAAATGGATAGTTCTTTGTTACAAGGCAAAATTGCGGAATTTTTTTAATTACACTAGCTGTCAAAAATAATACTTATTAATAAAAGACATGATAATTTACCCACACGAGATAACGACAGAGAAATACGCAAGGCTAGGTATAAACAGTATACGAAGTTGATATTGTTTTTACCTTATTGTGTCAATTATTATTTAAATGGCTTCAAAAACAACCCCAATTTTAAATTTGATTTTTATCATTAAATAGCATTAACAACGAAAGTGATTTTATTCGTTTACTTTGGAAATAATAGTACTTACTTGTAACTGTATCATCATAATCTAAAACATCATCTTCCTTCCGCTTCAAATCGTCTGCGTACATTTCTTCAACAGTCTTAGCGTCCTCTTCACTCGTGCCCATTAGCATATCTGCTTCCCTTTCACTCTTTATATATTCCATGACGTCACTCAATACATCTATCTCTGTATCTGGGGGCTTAACGGGTCTGTGCGTGAACTCGGGAAACCATTTGTAAATGCACGAGAGGAAAGTACGAAATACTTGTAAATACAAGTACAGACTCTTTTTATAATACTTATCACAGCTTCGGACTAGCATCTGAAATATTGTTTTATAAGTACATTGAATGGAACCGAAAATACAGGCAAATGTGCGAACAAGTAATTTTTACTATTTTAAATGCAAATAATGCAATAATTAAATTGTGTAAGGCTCTTTACAGCCACCGTTTGGCATATCATTATTTTTGGGGGGGGGGGGGGGGGGGGAAAAAGTTTCCCCCCATTTTCCCCCCCCCCCCGGGGGGGTTTTTTTCCCCCGGGGGGCCAAACCCCCCGAACCCCTTCCCCCGCGGCTCGGCCCAAAAAGCCCAAAAACTAATGATATCCAATAATTAAATTTGTGTCTTTAAAGTACTTTAAATTTTTAATGGATAAAAGAATATTACAATTGAAAAGAAATAAATAAAAAAAAAACAAATACTATTATATGAATAAATCTATGATGTTATGCCTAAACAAACTCGACAAATATTAGTGAGAAAAAAAATCGAATATAATAATAATGAATATAAAAAGTCTTTCAACAATTCAATGTATTCATATCAACTTACATCTTCCACGACCCCGTACATATACTCCAATATTGTGTCATCGCTAAACTCCATAACAACCGTTAGGATTTCAAGTGCAGATTGTGCGTTCCAAGCCTTTAATAGGAGACAAAAATATATACATACAGTTTAATATTTCTAAGGCAGATTACCACCGACGTGGAAATGACTAAATATCTGCACAGAATATCTATAATCAATATATTGAAAGATTTGTATTAATTTCAATTCGAACCAGCAGTTCCTGAGATTACCGCGTTCAAACAAACAAACTTTTCAGCTTAATATATTAGTATAGATTAAGGAGAGGTCACGCGATATAGTAGTTAGCGTACTGTACGTAAATAGCTTTGTATACGGTTAACTTAAATGTTTGAATTGCTTTACTTAAGTTTTGGAGATGAATTGCACTAAGTTATGCACATACCTTTTTCAGTCTTCTAGTGATCTCGTTTGTGAAATAATCAGCATTGCTTGCGATTAGTCCGGCCACGGTGTTATGTCCACATGCGATCTTAATATCATTAATCGCCTTTAACCCAGACAAGTGAAGCATCTCATACCTACTGCCTGTGAAGACATAATCGTCAATTGGCTTTTCTTTTTTAAGTTTAATTAGTGGTAAACAAATGTACTGTAGTTAACATAAGTAGTACACGTTTAAATAAAACACCTTTAACTGTTTTAACTTGTAACGACACCACGTTTCGGATGCTTCGCAGCCTGGGGTCGACAAAGCATCCAAAACGTCGGCCATCGTCGTAGATACCATAAATAATACATTTTGCGTTTTAACGCGTTAAAAGTGTTTTATTTAACATTACCCATAAACACATTTAACAATTTAAAATGACATGGCATGGTACACAAATATACTTTTTATTTGAGAAAAGACAAATGCTCACTCCTCCAGACTAAAGATGGGCAACGCATTGTTTTTCCAATTAATAAATAAATTATTAAACTAATAATTTAAAAGGTTTTATGACTACTACGTACGAAACAACACTCTCATTCTTATATATAAAACTACCTACCAACTCTCTCAAGCACCATGCAAAGTGTCTTCAGAAGGTACGGTTGGAACTCTCCTTGAAGACGTTTGGCCATCAGACCTAAACCTTCAGTGAGGAGACAGCACTGCACTATATTTCTTTGAGCTTGTCGCAATGTACGGCATGAGTTCGGCTCAGAATGACGCACGCGAGGCGTTTGGTAACTTATGTCCGTGTAACGAACCTCCATGGCGCCTTCAAAGAGACCTAAAAGTGGTATAAAGACATTTAAATGAGAAAAGAAGAAGGAAGAAATTGATAAAGCAAAGCAGACGAAGGTAATTTAAAATCCTGAATTATAAACGGAATAATTTTTGATTCAAACAAATTTAACGCTAACAGTGCTTACAAATATACACAGTTTCTTCTTACTTTAATTCAACGAACAATTTGACATATTTTCCTTATTATAAATTATTAAGGAACAAGGATTACTGTGGCGTGTGGTGTGTAAAAATCCTTACTTTACATTGCGTTAAGCACCAGAGGTTCTGGGATCGAGTTCAAGAAAAACATGAAATATTGTTCTAATTTTAACATGGTATACTACGCTTAGCATAAAGAAAATTAATATATTGAAATACCTGGCACACTATCTTTGCTCCACGCTCTAGGATTATAAATTGTCTCATCCAAGGTGTCTTCGTCTGTCAGAGGAGGTTCATTATTTCCCACCTTCAGAGGCAAATACCAGACATCTTCCTCTATATATGTGTCTATTACTCGCTTAGCAAGAGACGGCGTCGATTTTGGTGCTGTAATTAAGAAATAAAATGTTCTTGAAATATTATTTCGAAGATCATCTGAGAACTGTCTTTATTTTAAAGGACTGATCATTAAAACAATAGTTAATTATATGTTGAGACTAACTGTAATCTTTATATAGGAATACGATTGTGATTTCATTTTAGAAATAGTTATCTACCCTCAGTAGTTACTAGAGCTTATACTTAATATTGTTGAATAAAAAAAACATATAAATGATGTGAACACAGTTCTGAATTATTTCTGATTATATATTCTTGGTCAACATTAATGTATATCAACTCATTTAAGGCTAATCTAGGATAAGTTCAATGTACACTAGGTTAAGTCTAATGTAAGCCATTTTGAAATAAAGAATTTTAAAAATCAAAATCAATTAGTATTAGTTTATAATACAGTTAATAAAAGTTAAATAAAACACTTTAACGGTTTAAAACGTTGTAAATAGTTAAACTTATTTGAAAATGATTTTAACTACGGCCCGACGTTTGGGATGCTTTGCAGTAGCCGTGGTCACGAGGAGACTTAAGATGGAGGATGTCTCTGACGTCAAAGTAAAAATTGCTACTCTAGCGCCATCTGTTACGTCGAAGTTGGTATTTGGCGAAACTGGCCGGGTTCTTACAGACGTTAAAGTGTTTTATTTAAAAGTGTACTACTTGCGTAAACTATAGACTGTATATACTTAAAAATTGTTACTTTAACTATTTATACAGATGTTTGAGTTGACTCCTGTACCACAACTGCAAAGATATTCAATTTGCAAATAGGTTTAGAAGCGTATACACGTTTTTTTTAATTAATGATAAATATATCAAAACATTGAAAACATGGGAGAGACTCAAACATACGACCACAAGTTCCTCTACCGCTTGTTCGCGGCAGTATAACCATTGTTTTGTTTTGTCTCTTTCTATCACATTTGATAGAAAGAGACAAAACTAGTTACTGCACTATTGGGAGGAGCAGGAATTACCTGAGGCGATTCTATTCATTAGGTAGACAAGCTCAATATCCCGTCTCTCCGCGAATGTTTCCAGCAAAGTGTCGAGTATCAGCTGACCGCATTCGGCTTCACCCAGCAAACGGCAGATATTTTCAAATTTTTTTACACAATCGGAACTGTCCAGGTGACGGAACTTGCACCAGGGCGAGGTTCTTGGTGGGGCCGCTGTCACGTCTGTGGAAAATTTGTATAGAGGTATAGAATTATGTACACATGTTTGTTTATAAATTCATGTCCACGTTTTCTCCGGATAACATTTGCTAATAGTTTGAATGTGTTTGAAAAGAGATACGCGAGAGGTGCATGTATCAATAAGTTGAAAAAATTCGACGATGAGGTGTAGGACTCGGTAGCTCAATTGGTAGAGCAACAGCACAGAAAGCTGACTATGCCGGTTCAAGTCCGTTCATGCCCGAGTCGAAATTTTTTTCAATTTATTTTCGATTTTTAAATGTGTTTGAAAAAGCAAAAAAATGTATATTAGTTAAGAAAAAACTTAAACTCAAAAACTATTACTAAGTCAATAATGTTAAGATTAAAACTCGATTTTAAATTAAAAATAAAAACTACTTTTAATGCGCAATAGTTTAAGTTGAAATTACATTGCGCAAGAGTTGCATGTGTCAATAGCTTGAAAACGTCGTCGATGGCGTGTAGGACACGGTAGCTCAATTGGTTAGAGCAACAGCACGGAACGCTGTGGATGCAAGTCCTACCCGTATTGTATTTTTTTTTGAATCTCTAATATTCTCTCGATTTTTAATATACATTTTTTAAATCTTAAGAACATACCTCTAATAGCGTCTGTATTAAGCAGTGCCAAGTCACTTTCAATGGCTGAAGCGGACACCAATGAATCACATAACTTGCTGTATCCTTGCGAAGATGACAGGATAATCGTGAGTCGTTGTGGTTCACCAGCGTATAGTTCTTGAACGTATCCTTCGAGGAGATTCAGTGAAGACAGCTTGCGGGATGAATCTGGAATTATAGATCAAAATTAAATATATACATTTCAAATCTGTGATATTGAATTTTTAAAATGTATCAATATAATTAAATCCCGTTTAATTACAAATACAAATGTTGTATTAATAATAATTTAAAGTGAATCACAGTATTTTTTTAAGTGTTACGACAGACAACAATGTTATTAAATACTGTCTGTAGTTTACGCGAATAGTAATGAAATAAAACACTTTAACGGTTTAAAACGCGAAATATACTAGTAATATTAGCCTCCCGTGACCACCGCTACTGCAAACTATCCGAAACGCCGGGCCGTAGTTATAATATTTTTTAAATAAGTTTAACTAATATGTTTCGCGTTTTAAACTGTAAAAGTGTTTTATTTAAACAATGTTATTAATAGTACAGTTAAATGTCGAATGTAAACTCACCAATATTGTTTAGCACTCTGGGCAACGACCCCAGTACCATAAACAGGTTTCTAGTGAGACCGTCCATCGCGTTGAGTACCATCTCCGGTGAAGCTTTGCTTAAATATTCGGAGCGCGCCCATGTGCAATATGAAGAGACTTGTGAATAAGGATCACCGGATAATGTTATCAAAATGTCCAAGCACATCGGGATTGATGGCAACATAGAGCTGTAAACAATAGTTTAATTTTAAAAATCGAAAATAAGTTGAAAAATATTTCTACCCGGGCAGGACTTGAACCGGCATCGTCAGCGTTCCGTGCTGTTGCTCTAAAAATTGACCTACCGACTCAACGCGGACGATGCCGGTTCAAGTTCAAATTGAAAATTACATAGTGCCTCCATGTGCATATATTATAATAACATGTGAAAAATATTAAAGTTTTCAAACAATAGTTTAATTGGGGGTTTTTTATATGATATGTATTTTTATTCTTAAAGTAGATAAGCAACTGAATGACCTTTATCTTGAACTAGCTGTGTTCGCGTTCTTGCGAGTTAATCTTAAAAGATAGACATACTGTCAAGAACATTTTTATAGATTGTTTAAAGAGAAATCAATGTTTAACACATATTTTTTGGCTATCTTGGATTGTTTTCGCAGAGAGAGCAATGAAACGGTTCCTATTGATCGAAGTGTTTTATAGCCTAAAGCCTTCCTCGATTAATGTTCTAACCAACACAACAAAACAATTTTTAAATTTGAATCCGTAGTTTCTGAGATTAGCGTAAACAAACAAATTTTTCTGCTCTATAATATTAGTGTAGACGTATGGTTTACATATTTTACCTTAAGGGTGACTACATAACGAAATGGCGATGGCGGCAATTATTTCTTATATATTCGGAAAATGTTAGAATGTACATTATAAATTATAATGTAAATATTTATTTACTTATTGCATTCAGAGAGAATCCTGTAGCACAGTACGGCAAGTTCCTTCCTAACCTTGAAGTGCTCATGCGCACCAAGACGAACCAGACTGCGAACAACAATTTCCAGCTTCTCACCAGCCATGTCAAACCACTCTTTCGTCAATTTTGGCAAATCAGATGTTTTACCTAAAAAGTTTATTTGTTAAGTTCATAACATAATTTACAGTTTAATTAATTACTTTCCGTGAATAAAAAAAGGTTCATGAAACGGACACAGACGCGTGTCTGCTTCGTTTGGTAAAAAATGTATTTTTGGTAAGACTGCCTAACAAGAATGAAACAAATGTCTCTTCGCAAATATGTACGTTACCTATATAGAACGTAATTTATATTACAATTAATAGCATGCACAAATACAGTTTAGTAAGCCAACGAAACGAGATAAAGACACGTCAGGTATTAATAAAAAGTAGTTTATTTGAAGCATTATTCTAGTTTTTAAAAAGTAAGATTTCAGATTTTACAAAAAATGGTAAATCAATTATTGAAAGATTATTTTTCACATCGTACAACCGTAGCTTTATATGAATATGTAGGAATAAAAAAAATATGATGGAGCTGGGCTCACATTAACTTTATCTTGAATCGTTAATCGTTTGTGAGGTAACGTTTAGAAGGATATTAAGAAACATGCCAAAACACCTATAAAATGCTGTGAAGTCCATTACCCTTTCTTACATATTTGGGACTGTCTTTCTGTTCAATGGCTTTGATGAAATCAGCAATTGTGATTTCTTTGTTCGTTAGGTGCTTATCATTCATAGTCATGCACAAAATACGGTGTGTAGCGTTTAGAGCCATCTGGAATCAGTAAGAAACTGGTTCAAATTACATTAATGCAAAGACAAAACATTAGTCAATTATTTGTTAATTCACCCAAGAGATGGCGCTAATCTCAAATTTTTAACATTGTAATAATAAAATAGTGCATTGCTATTATTGAATAATTACACTGGAATTAGCCTCATAGGACTATGTTTCCGAACAGTGGGACCGTTTAAAGTGCTAATGATAATAAAATGATGAAAGATTTTGCAGAAAAAAATATTAACAGTTTTTAGACACCAATCAACATATAATAGATAGAATAATTTCAAATTATGTCTTACCACAACAACTGCATGACCCGGATTATTAGAACACATTGCAACGTCTTGTAGCGTCGAAACCAATCCTGGTAATATGCAGCCCAGCATACGTACTACAACATCTTCCAATACTGGGTTTGATATCATACAATTTGCATCTGTGAGTTTTGGGTGTGTGCATGTATGTGCCAAAACACTGTCTAAGGCCGCAAGTCTGAAAATTTAAAAATATCTTTAATTTAAAATAAATTTTTGTTTAAAAAAAAAATCTATCCATCAATAATAGAAATAATGTATAGTTGACTATTCTCATATACGTACTATATAGATTGTACTGTGTACATAAAATATAGGTTATTTAACCATTTTCAAAAAAATAAATATTAATTGAGATCTGAGTTAAAAATCGATTATAAATTGAAAAGAATTAGGACTCGGACAGGACTCGAACCGGTATCCACAGCGTTTTGTGTGGTTTCTCTAACGAATTGCGCTACCGAGTCCTACACGTCATCGCGTAATTTTTTTACCTATTAAAGACAGGTCTAGCGAAATGTGATTTCAACTTTAACAGTTGAATATTATGGTTCATTGTCTTATGAATTCAAATCATATTAAAAAATAAAACTAGTCTTATGTTCTTGTTACTCTAAATAAGAGACTTACTTTAACACCCTTAACTTCTCCAGCTTAGCCATATGCACAGATACAAAAACAGCTTGTGCTAATAACGGCGCATGGCTTTTGATCATTTTTAATCTAAGTGAAGTTTCTAAATTCAACATGAGTGCTGTCATGCACTGCATTGCTGAAAGCTTCAATTCTTCTGAGATATCAGCAACTGTTCAGAAAATATTAATTCAAACCAATATACAGTATAGCTACGTGGGTTCTTGAGATGTTAGGCTGTCATGATTAAGATAGGTTATTAGATGTATTACCATCATAAATAAATGATAACATAACTAGATGCGTTTCTCACAATTATGATGGGTGTTGAAAACAGAAGTAGCACACAAATAGAAAAAATTAACATACAGTTGCAAACATAATGATCTTCTTCTTGTAAGTTATCTAGTGGGTATATTAACATTTAATCGCAACAAAACATATTATGTATACTTACTCATGCCAGGCCTTTTTTTATCCAAAGCCATTTTTGCCAAAGTCAATTCTATTCTTATACACATTTCATAGCAGGAAACACTGACACTGTCAAGCACTTCTTTCATAGCATTTACTAGTAGCCTTTGCATTTCATATTTTCCCCTGTAATTTGGAAATATCAGAGAATTGTAATATTCCAAATTTAAGAAGATTTAAATGGATACCTTCACCATAACATAGCTGTAAATTACTTGCTTTATTATTTTTACAAGATAAAGTTATCATGTAAAAATAATAAAGCAAGTAATTAACATCTATATAAAATTAAATTAAAATAATAAACAAAAAAATATACATACTCAATCTTGTTGGGCTGTAGGTGGGTAATGATTGGAAACAACATGTACTGCTGCAGCTCTTGTAAAGACTCTTTTTTAAGTTCATGGGTAAGGAGTGTATACTCTTTAATAAGATCCACTGTTGGGCTAACCATTATCATATCACATACTGGTTTGATAAGAGTAAAAGCTGCTTTCAGTTCTGCGTTCATCTTGATAGAATCGAATAGATTTTAGGGCCAACGGTTATTTGTGTATAGTGTTAAATTAATTAATCTTGTTTCATAACATAATTCGTATACATTCACTGAACAGAAATATAGTTAAGTTTATTAAATAACAAGTAATAAAGTTCTTTAACATTGAGCAATTTACATTTACAAGTATGAAATACATATAATAATCTCCAATTTACAAGTAAAATCATCAACTTCAGACATTTGAGCACAATTAGCAAAAGACAGCTGCCACAACAAATGATTGTCATTAGTTGTGACAGCCATAATTCTGTACTTGACTAATTATAATGGCAATGTTTTTTTTTATTTCTACTTTAGAAGAAGGTTTTATATAACGTATATCAATATTAATGATGATAAAATTTTAAGTGCCCTCTAGTCTTTATAAACAAAATATTTAACAGAAGCGGCGTATTTTCTTGCTAATACAGCCAGTTTACTCTGTATATTCAGACAAACGCAAAAGTGACCTAAACCCAATGTTATGGTGAAAACCATTCATAAAGCCATGATGGGAATTAAGTTTGGTCAGAGTACTATAAGAAAAAATATAAAGGACATTTACTTTTTTAATAGACTTCTAAAGTACTTTTTGATTCAATATTTTACATAATCTATAAAGTATAAAGTACACATACAAAACGTCAAAATCAGCTGCTCTAATGAAATCCTAGGAATTTGTGATTGTGCGGCTGAATCGTGTTTTCTTAATAACTTTCTACTTAAAACATATCGCACAGATGTGTCTACGGTCATAGTTACTTTTGAAATCTAAAAATGTTTTCCATCGGAAAGCGTCGTGTTTTTTACAAATGCCTTAAAATTTTAAGGTTATCTGTAAAGAACTTCAGTAGCCTCCCAGACATAAAAAATTTAAATATTGTAAGAACTGTGGAAAAGATAATCGACACGAATACGAGCATTTTTATTGAAAGTCCTATACACGTAAAAGTGCTGCCTATCGACATAAATGATTTAAAGGCACACAATAAGTTAACAATGACTCTGTATAGTAAGGGTCAAGATACCAATGATTTTCAAGTAAAACAGACATCGAAAAGATTAGAGCTGCTGAACCAAAACAAGACCCCGGATCGCAATGATGTTTGTCTTGTACATGTACCTTATAAGTTAAAAGTTCAGGTGAATACCAGTGAAGAGGCCTCTGTTCATTTAAGTAAACTAGAGGCTGAAGAATTTGTTGTGAAGACACAAAAAGGTGACATTAATATTGCAGATTTGAAGGCAGACAATATCAAAGTGGAGAGTAGTGCAGGTCACATCCAAGCAGAGGGTAGATTGCAAGCGTCAAATATTGAAATGAGCTCAGGATTAGATGGAGCTATAAAGTGCAACAGTATAATGGCCAATTCTTTTCATGCTTCAACCCACACTGGGCCAATCTTTGTAAAATCCTGCTACAGCGACAATTCTCATTTTATTACCCTCATGGGAAATATTACACTGGAACACTTACATAGATCTGTTAAAATTGAGATTATACAAAAAGGAAACCTGCATATACAAGGATTCTCAGGAAACCTCGAAGCCACTCTAAAAAGTGGAGACGTTTTTATGCATGCATCACAATTACATAACAAAAGTAGCATCTTTATTCATGAGAAGGGAAAAGTTGAACTTTTAGTTCATGATATTGAGAAGAATTTGCCGAAAACCAATTTGATAGCTGACAAAATAAAAGTTGACGATAAAATATTAAAGCAAGGACGATTCATGGATGATTCTCATCCAATGAGGTTCAGATATGAGAAAGATCATAAAAATGAATTACATATAGTATGTAAGAATGGCTCCATCGATTTAAAGGAAACAGATGTACCGTTTCTTGTGTAATTGCATGTTCATGTATTTTTAGTGTAGATTTATTTATTTATTTTTAGTTATAAATGTTCTATTAATTAAATGTGTAATTTGCTGGAAGTTCTTTAATTGATATATAAAGCGAAATTCAAGTACTTGATAAGAGACAAGTTAGTGATAAAATATTGTCTTATCTATGTAATTAAATAAGTAATTGGCAATTTTTTGAGTAGTGACAGAACATATACCTAACAAATACATTTGTACTTTATACTAGCAAATTGCTCATATAATAAATATATAATATTATTTCTTTGCTTTGTCACTTTGATTATATTTTTGTCTTCCATGAAGATTCTACACAAATATTAATTTAAGGCTGTGACAATTAGTGCATATTATTGTGGTCTTTAATATATTTAAAATAATCCAACACCTATGTATGTACTTTGTTGTTAAGTAGTGAAGTGTATTCCCAAAAGAATAATTGGGAATAAAATATAGTTCTAATAATATTAAACCTTTTCAAGTATGTAAAGTGTATAGGTACTTCCATTTTGACTGTTAATAACATTTAGAAGGTTTTATGCATTATTAAATGTATTGTTGTTATGTCTGTCTGTGTCTTCATGTCGTTTTATATTGATAAAGTGAATATTCGGTAACTTTTTTTTATTTATTGTCCTTTTATACGTTTTCATATGGTAAAATATCTTTTAGTTGTTGTTGAAAAATAATTTAGTACTTAATCTAAGTATAGCGAACAGTTAATCAAAAAAGTTGTTTCGAATATAATAACAGTTCATGTGTCACTATTCCCCAGTAACCCATTAGTTCATTAACTAATTGCGGCAAATTTTTATTTATTTTTAACTAGGTAACAGTTAATTGGGTACAAAGATGATTCCAGCAGGCGTATTGTGAGATAACGAAGCTGTTTATATGCAGTGGACGGTAGCGCGCGCGTCAGTTTGTGCTTGCCACTCGTCATGCCGGCCTGTGCGCCTGAGTACCGCTTCGTGCGGTCCAATACCGATCTTATCTTTTCGCCGAGAGCTAAGAGATGTTCTCACCAACCACCCTTTACCACTCTGAGGAGATCCTTCTCTTCAACGTTTTCCCTCATCCCAGAGGAGCAGGCCGTACCACCGGAGTATCCAGCATCGTTGCCGCGGCTCATAGGAGTCATCACATGGTTACCACGACAATTTCTTCGACCGTTGATTGCGATATTTAACTTTATCGCACATCCAGCGTGGAAGCAAATATTAGTAGTGTTGCCTACACTGTGGATCGCTGCTTCACTCTTCATCTTCTGGAAATGTGTCCAGTGCCCTCTCGGAGTCTTGAAAATGATAGCGGGCGCACTGTCTAGCAGCCCAGAAAAACAGAGAACCGTATTGATTAGCGGAGGAAGCTCTGTTCAGGCGCTGCATCTTGCAAGGAACTTTCACTCCGCGGGAGCCAGAGTGATAGCGTTTGAAATCGAGGGTCAGTTTACTTTGTTAAAATATTCGGCAGCTGTGAGTCAATTTTATACCGTTCCCAGACCGAATCCCGGTGATCCTCTAGCGTACGCGAGGGCCTTAAAGGAAATTGTTGAAAAGGAGTCCATCGTATTTTATATACCTGTGAGCTCATCGACGCCAGCCTATTATGACGCTCTTGCAAAGCCTCATCTTGAAGTCATGGGGTGCCAGTGCTTTGTGCCGTGTGCTCGTGACGTCGTTGCTTTGGACGATCCACTGGAACTCATTCGATTATGTCGTGTAGCTGGTTTAGCTACTCCTCAGTTCTGGGTCGTCGCTAGCGAAGAAGATGTTAAATCTTGGTATGAAAGTGGAGCCTCAAAGGAAGGAAAACATTTCATAGTGAGCGCTGGACCGAGAGGTGCACGAGACCGCCTTAGATTCATTCTACCTGACAGCATAACGCACCTTAGGTTCCCACGTGAAATTAGTGCTGAAAAGCCGTGGGTCATCATGCGTGAACCAAAGGGAGAGAGGTTGATGACTTGTACCACATTAAAGGGTTCTCGTGCAGTGAACAATGTAACTTGTAGATTGGATACAGAAAGGAAAGGGTTGATACCGCAAAAAGATGACGACGCAGATGCGTGGGTGCAGAAATTTGTAGCGTGTCTTACTCCTGCGCGCCCTATGACCGGTCATATTGCCTTTAGATTAGTTCGAGAAGAAAATACCGATGGTAAAGGCAAGTTAGTGGCAATAGGTGCGCGTGTCGGTGTCTCCTTGCCCTATTTATGTCAAGGTCCCAAAAGGTGTGGTCACGCAGCAACAGTTGGGAATCTGTTGAATACTGTGTTAGATACTCGCGAAGCTCTCTTCGCTTATTGGGACCCTTTGCCATATTGTGCGTATTACCAAGCGCGATCGCCGGAAGAACGCCGACCACCGACGCCTGAGCCCTGCAAGACTCCACCCAATGTACCCCTTTGAGTGTTGATGAGTCTTGGATGGCACTCTTGTACCTGAAGAGCGCGTGTGTTTTGCTATGTATAGTGCTTTGAATCACGCTCTCTATCTGTTGTCCTCCCGTCCGGACAGTCACGCCTATCAAAGGTCAGGACAGGGGATGACAAACATGTGTGTAACTACTAAGTAGATGTGGATATGAAAACGTTCAATAATAATTATTGTTAATGCTATTTTTAATGTTATTTAAAATGACGTCGAATATTTTAACCTTATTAATGTTTAATATAAAATTACTCTAAATAAATTTTATATTTAATTAATTATAAGTTCTGTATTGTAATATATTGTCCTACAATACTAATTGTAAAAGAGTGTACTAGTTTTATTTATGCACCTACTAATGTCACTATACTAAACACAATACCTACCATACAAATATTCTCTTTAAATTACGTTAAAAGAATACTTTTAACTATTCTTATATTTATAATTCCCTAGGCAATATGTTCTTTTTTAATATATGTAATTGTATAGGTCTATAAAATTCAAGAATAATGAATACTAAACATTTTTACTCATAGATAAATAAACGGAATGAATTCATTGTAGAAACAAGTTGTTTTAGGGGCTCAATGTTCTATAACAAAAATTGCTAATAACCAACGGGTCGTAAGTTTTAATGCCAACGGGTCTAAGATATTAATTAATTAAAATAATTAAGTTAATCTGTATAAGTTCGGACTCCGTCTGGGTCACGAGCCTTTGAGCATATATTATAAAAAGAGTTATGGAACTGAAACCTCTGTTTCGAGTTTAATCTGTGGATTATCGAATGTCCAATAGATCGAAAGCAATCTTAAATGGATTTGCGGACTGGGATATTACCTTCCATGAATCTCATTATCCTTCTTCATAAAACAAAACCTTTCAATTGTTTACTCGTAAATGGATAGTGAGTTTATAAACTTATTTTTAAATCTACAAACAGTAAGTACCAAGTAAATGTTAATGGAGCTGCGTTGATAGCGTTTATCATTGTCCGGGTCAACTGGCGGTACAAAGATCGACACTTTCTTGTGTGCGAGTGGAAAAAATCTATTCGTAAGTTGCCCTATAAAAAGAGTTCACTTGATGGTAGGTGAAATACCCCCCCTATTTTGGCTTTGGATATTCGGAATTCCACAAACTGTAATCCGAAACGCGATTAAACATCACGGCCTTTTCATCTGTGGACCAATTTAATATCCAGATTTATAGACGAGGAAATTAGAAAAATGTTTTGTCATTAGACCAACGGGGCCCTCAAAAGTAATGTCTTGTCACATGTCTTGTTAATTTTTTAATTACCCGAATTTGAAATCATTGTCGGGACCATTTTTGGTCTAGGTCAGTATCTATTAGGTATAGTATATGAGGGAACTCATTAGTTGTTTTATATTACTTGCAGCCTTTTTTAAGTAGCAAAAAAAACTACTTAAAGTAGCCTAGACTAGTCTTAAAGTTTTCATTCTTGTTAAATACACTACAATTTACAAAACATTATTAATTTGCAAGTGTTTATTTGTAAAAGAATAAAGTGTTCTACTAGATTCTTTTGTCTTTTTTATATAAAAACATGCAAATAATATTTACATATTACACCCAAAGTAATGTAGCATAAAAAACTTTTTTTGATTGATATTTCTTGTCATATAGGTTACGGTATCGGTAACTATGAATACAAGTTATAGACAAGATGTTGCTTTCATATCGGAAAGTATAATAATATGTGCATCCTTTATCCTTATCGATTTAACAGACACGCACAACGTTATGAAGCATTCTCACGAAAACGATTCACGATAACTTTTGCGAAGCTTCGATATTTTATAGCCCATAAAACATACCCGGATAAATTAATAGGTATGCCTTTTTTATTAAAATATGGTATTACTTGCCTGGTTTAAATATTTAAATAAAACACTTTAACGGTTTAAAACGCCATATATTTTAGTTAAACTTGCTGCAAAGCATCTGAAACGTCTTAAACCTTCAAATGTGTACTACTCGCCTAAACTACAGACAGTATTGGATTAAATATGATTAAAAAATAAAAAACAACAATTATGACCCATAAGCAACTTAAGTCCAAAATCACCTTACAAATTCTTAGTAATATTAAAGCATATAACTTTAAACTTATGACAAAGTTTAGCAGGTGAGTTAAGACGTTTCGACGTATCGTAAAATACTAATAATGCACTTTTAACGGTTTATAACGCGAACTATATAAGTTTAGTCCCAAGTTGATTATCGATATAAAATTTGTATTTTAAAGTACAAACGTAATAGTTCACCGCACGGAAATAACCCAATTCAAATTAAATAGTAAATAGGTAATTCCCAAGATAATATAGGTTGAAGTCCAGTGTCATTACATCCGGCTAGTTTATTTTCGTTAAAAACACTATCTACAGAATAATTTATGAACTATGTCATCCTTGGGAGATTAGGAATTCAACTACAATAAATTTGACTTTGAAGAAGAGATATGATTTAAAAAACACGTGCGTTGAATTTTACTCACGTGATTGCACACTGAACTTTATGTTCATTTACCTCGTAAATTAACGACATTAACATACTGTATAATTAGTTTTTCTTTATTTTTTTATATCATGTTTGCCTATAATTTCTTGTTACGCATTATTTTTTCGTTTGCCTAAATAATTGCTGTGTGAATAAATAAATCGTTTATTATCAAAATTATACATAATTTACAAAATATTTAACAAATAGTATTAAATAATTAAAACACAGTGGAAAAACTGTGGAACGAACCTTAAACCATTATAATAACTATGACATATATTTCTTTAGCGGCGTGAGTTTAAAACAAATGCATAAGTGAAGGAAAGGTTAGGAGTTTAACAAACATTAATATGTAATATTTCCATAGATTTGTTGTAAAGGTAATAAATGTATTAAATGCTGGTAATGTTTTAAAAATTACATAAATAACTAAAGCATAATTAGGGCATACTGTACTGCTCTGGGCTTTTATATTAAAGTAAATCTGCTATTGAAGAAGAATCTTAAGTAACAGGAAATAGATAGAAGTGTAGCTGCTATGCCATCTGTACCACAGATGTAATTAAATGAAAGAGTTTGGTCAATATTTTGATAATCACCGCGTCCAAAAATTTTTATTTTTTTGAAACGTTCTGGACTTCGTATGGAAGTCTGGATATGAAATGGGTGGTAGGAAAGTTAAAAATTCGGCCACGAACCACCGCCCACAGACGAAAACACGGTGAAGTTTGTCTGTTGTTTGAATCACGTTTCGGTTTGAGTCTGTACGTTTTCGAATATTCAAAGCCTATCTATTTAGCCTATCGATAGAGCATCTGTATTTAAATGTGGACCCTATGTTTGTCTATTATAAAAAAAGTTAATCAATAGAAGCAAAGAAAAAAAGCTATAAACAAGAAATTGTTCTGAAAATGTAATATTTTCCATCTATGCCGGTGTATTGCGGCCAAGGAGGGTGTGCGAATTTATCTTTTGCTAAGTCACAATCAAGCGTAACGATTAAATTATTATTTCCAATAAAGGCACGCTAGCGACGCGTGATATGAATTGCGAATAGATATTAACAATATTATTAAACCGATTTTCATCGTATAGATTTCCCTACGTATATTATCTATTAACATTTAACCTTTTAAAGCGTTAGATTTACAAATAAACAGATACCGGACTTTGCGCCCTTATGTAATAATAAAAATGTTTGTATTGTATTCTTCAAATTACAGCAAGGTGTCCTTGAATAAATTTGTATATATAATTTGTTGTTATGTTTTAAGATATACCTTATCTAAACGAAAACATCGATCAATGATATTCTAAAATTTTGTGCTAAATCAGCACCGCGTTAGTTTATGCGAGTTGTACACATTTAAATGAAACAATTTAAACGGTTTAAAACTCTTCATGTATTACCTAATCTTATTTACTGCTTTAAAGCTGGCGCGAAAACTGCTGGAATGCTGCAAAGCGTTCTTAAATAAACTGTTAATAAGTTTAAACCGTTAAAAGTGTTTTTTTATTGTTACGTTTATGTATTTTTTTTTTAAATTTGCATCTTATTTTCTCTAACTATGTTTAAGTAAACTATATTTAATATAATGATGCAATACTATATAATTGTGCGCAGTGCTGTTTATCCTCAAACCAGAGGTAGATTAGTCGATAGTGTCTTTATATCAGCGTCCATTGTCCAAGGCTGGCTCCGGTGGGTCAGACGGGATGTAGACAAGCGCTTATCTATGTAAACATTAAAGTTTTTTGACTGTATTAGGAACTAAAATAATACTAAGTTTTTATAATTGACCCTACAATCCAAAGATAAATAAAACATAGCATTGTCTGTAGTGGTATAATATAAGTAAAATTTTAATCATAAAACCATGATAATGGAAAATAGTGTGTCTGAACTTTGAAACTGAGAAGCCTAAAACGCTCAAATCTTTTAAGCATCTTTTACCTGCAGCTGTTTGCAGCTGTTGCAGCATCGTCGATCTTAAGTAACGCCCAATGGCTGACACTAAGAATGATAATCGTACAGACTTTCTTTGGTTTAGGTAATATCTAAGTCATTGATCAATTCTCAAGTGTCGCATAAGGAATAAATCTGTAGGTGCACTTCATTTAATGTCGGGTGCATCGGCACAGACGTCCAAAGTTCACAGCACCAGACGACACGACCCATTTCCGTGTCTTTATACAATTGTACACGTTTACTTAGAAACAACAGTAACTAACTTGATGCGGGGAATTTTTTCGACGGCATCGATCTAATAGACCATCTGAGGAAGATTTTATACACAAATTATGTAATTAATATTATTTCTAGGTAAATTGAAACAAACTATTATTATTAAATGATTAATTAATACAATGAAGGACTTTTAGACAGCTGACATTTTCGAATTGTTATTTTACGTTAAATTAAAACGGGTAGTTACAAAATGTATAGATTAATTTATTTTTGAGTTACCCGACGTTTTGGATGTTTGAAGCAGCTGTGGTACAATCCCACCAGATACCGTTAAACTTTTCGCTTTAATATTGTTTTAGGTTAACTTTGCCATTTCGTAAATGTGTACAGATTAATTAAGTTTGTTTCGTAGCGCAGTGCTACATCAACGTAGCACTTTGCTACAAGATCTTAATTTCAAATTAATGAATATAAAATGATGTAACGTTATAACAAGTTTTATGCTAACTTAGAGTGTGAAAACATCTATTCTAATTGAATTGTTCTAATGACACAAATTTTGTTACAAAATAAGGTGTAAAAGAAAATCCAGTTCCAACCGGTAGAAGTTCAATGCAATATCGCGCCCAGACATCTCGGGCCATCGCCGTATTTATTGATAAATTATAATTGGATCCGCTTGACACTAATTAGCGAAATAATTCTATTTCTAAATGCTATAAACAAACTTCTTATAACATTCACAAATATTAATAAAGTAATGTCTGCCTTTGTTCCAAAAATAATTCCAGGACAGAATAGTCAACACCAAATGTAGGGCAAATTGTTGAAAGAAATAATGCTATCTTTTTTCTTTTCAACGAATTGAAAGGAGACAAGTTTTGTACGTGTAAATGTACAGGTGTAATCTGCTGACTTGCAATTTTATTAACATTCTTAGGTTTAATCGCTTCCTTGAAGGTGTTAAGTTAAGACATGTGAATTCTTTGGTTATTTAAGCTAGAGCTTAAATATTTTTGTTTATTGTGAATTTCTAAAAGAAAATATGGCAGATGACATACATTCTTTATTAGATGTTCGATCCAGAAAACCTATAGACACGGCCGGGGTAACCTGGTGGAATCAGTACGAAGGTACAAGAAATAAAGAAAATGAATTGCAAAAGCCAACGAAAGTCTCGAAAGCCACAAATACAAACAGTGATTTTGTTTTAAAACCTCACCCAAAAGACATAGTTCTCCAGAAATGGAGGGATAGGCAATTGAAAACAAAGCTCGAACTAGGAAGAAAAGCAGCTATTAATTCGATAAAGAAAAAATTCGAAAAAAAGACACGAAACAGATATAGGCTTTAATCCAAAAAATAATACAGGTAATAATCGAATAGCAGTCCCTCGGATTATAATAACGAATGCGGATGTCGAGGAGACATCAAATTTGAATACAGACGGTACAGAACGAAGGAATTTGGACTTTGTTTTTGATGAGTTGAGGGTTGAAGGTTTGGAGGATGAAGGGTTTGGCGTTGGTCACGCGAGCAGCCTTCAGATGGGGCTAGGTGGTGTGCTGGCACAGTGCAGGCCGTTGGCTCGAGACGCTAGGGCGGGCGAGGCGGAAATACGCGGGCAAATAGACATGCCGGTGAGTTTGCAAACTTTGTAACGTTTTAATAGGAATCGATGAATGCTCTGTTATTCGTAATACAACAATTATAATTCTGTATGCAAATGCGGCAAACACTCAAATTCCTGTTTATATTTTAGTGTTTTTTTAATTCTGTCCATATTTTACCAGCTAAGGACGACGGGGTCTCCCCTTCCTTAGTCAGAAGGGACTTGGTCTAGTTATTCATAATTACTGCATATTATTATTATAATGCTATTTTTTTACATTACTTATAATTAGGATATCATACTTGACAGTTTTTATTTCCTAACAGAAGAATAGGATTCCCTGTGCCTTTGGCGGCTATTCTCTGTGGTGTGTTTACAATAAAATTATTACACAAGTGGAAAGTAAAAAGAAGTATACAAAACGACTTAGTAATTTTTCGTCCTCGTTAAAGTTTGCATCCCTTTTTATTAGTTTTCGGAGTAACGAATTCCAAAGAACCCATTACAACCGTAGAATTGATTTTATTATTGAATTATTCATAGAGCAACCAAAAATTTCCTATTGCGTTCTAATTATTCTACGTAACTAGTTTATCTTTGACCGTGAACGATATGAAGGGACTACGTGACTTCGGTCGTCACATAAGGATATAAACAAATCGCCCTAAAAGGACGGATACTAGCGACGTAACGGACGTTTGGAACGACAAAATCTGATAAAAGTATATTTAAAGCAATATCTAAATTTAATTGGCCTGTGTTCTTATAGTAGCAATGTATAAATAATGATTAACGGGTCGTTGGTTTGTCTCCACCGGGTCCAAGTTGTTTTCTAATCAATTTATAACTTTTCTGAAACATGTTCGATTTCGTCTTGAAATCTGGATATTCAGTAGATATAACGAAACAAATGAAAAAGCCGTAAAGTTTGTTTGTATTTCAGTTTCAGTCTGAGAATTTCTGAATTTCCAAAGCCAAAAATAAGTCGACACAAATCTTGCCCTCCATCAAGTGAACCACACACTTGTTTGTTCTCCTCTATCTAAAATATACAATACTTTAAAATTCAAGTACATTTAACACACATGTTTTACGTGTATATATTTCGATATAATGATTACTATTTTATGCTCCCTAAAATGTAGACCATATGCCTAATAGTAATATTCCTCCTAATGAGGTCGCGGTTTATTTCAATAATCCCAATTATTCCTTTGTTTGCTCATTAAACACACTAATTTAGTAACCAGAAATTAACCAGTTTGAATAAACAAATTAAAGTCCGGTAAACAGACGGAAATAAGTGTGCTCTATTTAAAACGAATTTATTAAACTTCAGTATTTTTCAGTAAGAACCAGTTGTTTAGTGTTTATTTTCTATTATTTGCTAAATATTAATAAGCTACGCCATGCATTCAAGACTAATGGATGTTTGTATTATTATTTATTTTTTGTTTATTTGTTTTTGTTAACACATATTTCTTTATTTTATTGTATGTTTACATAGTGTAAAAAATGAATTTAATAGTAGCATTAGTATTTACTTTGCAATAAAAGTACGCTTTTTAAATAATAAGGAACTCATATATACATTTGGAGAAAGCTAAAACTGTAATTTTTGGAAGAGCATGGAAGAGGCCCTCATTCATTAAAGGAGGTCTATGAAATGTATACTTACAGAAATAAATATATATAAAAAATTACTGTAAATAATGATTCTGTTATAATTTAAGTCGTTAAACATTGTTTCAATATTTATTTTTAATTGTTGTGTATCATAGCAAATTTTATTTAACATTTTTAGTTATAAAATTTAAAAAAAAGATAAACGAAGGGTTGAAAAACTTTGATGACACTGGCTAAAGTAAAACGTAAACTTATACTATTTTTAAAGTATAAAAACCTTGTCCTTCAATCATTTTAAAATACTAGCATAATGTTTCTCACAATTTGTCGGTAACAATAGACTATTATGGAATACTGCCTATGCACGTACCACTAATAAGACTGATTTTTTTAACGAGGTCACGTGGTTTCCACCTCAGTAAATCGTGGGGCAGTTATCTTGGAGCAACCTTCGATCCGCTACACGGAACTGACCTATGATAAGTAATCAGCTCTGAAACATGGAGGGTTCTATCTTCTATTAAATAATGTTAATATTATAGAGCAGAAAATAAGAGATAATGTTTCGTCACTCCCTCGATTTTTATTATGTATACGGATGTACCAAATCTCGTGTCGTAATTTAAAATACGTTAACTATTATACATAGTCTATATTTCATATAAAAGTTAGTCCCCCGTAGTATCTTTTGTATTTTATTATATATATATTTTAATTGTATTGACTAATCGATATTAATAGGTATAAGACACTTTTATTAGATTTTACGGATGGATAAATGATCTAATAATGAAAAGCTTACGTTTTTAATAATTTTATGAATTGTACAGATTTCATACTAATTGTGATTGTTTTTATCGTTGAGTATAATATATATAGTTATAGATATGAATGGATGTAAGCAAATTGTTTATAGCATTTCCGATTGTCTAAAACTGAAAATAAATCAATGACGCATTTTGTTTAGATGTTATATGGCTAGGGCATCTCACTTACCATCAAGTGAACCCAATGTCCCCCCTCCGTCATAAAAAACTTACATAAATAATATAATTAAAGCAATTACTCTGAGAAAGTGAACTATGCACGTATTATGCTAATAAATATATTTATGCAATAGCTTCGTATATTACATCAGAATATAATCTATACTTGAATATATAAAGCTGAAGAGTTTGTTTGTTTGAACGCGCTGATCTCAGGAACTACTGGTTTGAATTGAAAAATGTTTTATGTGTTAGTTAAAACATTTGTCGAGGAAGGATAGGCTATAAAACATCGAACTGTGAGTAATAGGAGCGAGAAGCAGCGGGAAATGTTGAAAAAAAAATCATATCTGTAGGTTTTTGATGCGTACGCTGCGAAAACGGTTCGAGATACCCAAAAAATATGTATGAAAGAATGATTCCTTTTTAAATGACCTTACAAAAATGTCCGTAACACTATATGTCTATCTTTAAAGACAAACTTGCAAAAACGACAGGTCCAGAACAACGTCGCGAGCAACGGGACGCGTCCGATATCCATGTCCGGTAGCAGTTTAAATTCATTAAGATGAAGAGTAGGATTGGAAAAACAAATTTAAATGCCCAAAATTTCAACTACTCTACACGGACGAAGTCGCTGACACAGCTAGTACTTAACAAATTATACATTAAAGAAAACACTTTTGCGCGAAAACGCGACATATTGTTTAACTACGACTCTTCATTGTAGGTGTTTTAAAAAACGAATATATTTCGTGTTGTACAATCTTTGGTTGTGTGCTTGGAGACTTTCTCGCAACGCAGACGAATAGTGTAGCTTCTTAAAGGATTATTGACTTTGGTTATATATAAAACTAGTGACTCACAATATGGAGAAAACAGTGAGAAATGAATAAGTATTCGTTAATAATGGTTCGAGTACTCGTCTGTACTCAAATGTGTGCAGAACAGAATGTTCTAACAAATATACGCAGAAATATACATGTTAGGTTGGGTTAGCAAATGTAAGTAGGTATACCAATTAATAGACCGTATTATGTGCGTGACAGTTATGTTTGGTCAACCAAGAAATATAAAGAAAACAATTGAACTAAGAGAACTCAAATACTGTTATTTAGCGAGTAGTACACATTTAAATAAAACACTTTAACGGTTTAAAACGCGATATATTAGTTAAACTTATTTGAAAATGATTTTTAACTTCGCCCACTTTCGGATGCTTTGAAGGTGGGGTCTCCCGTGACCACGGCTGCTGCAAAGCATCCGAAACGTCGGGCCGAAGTTAAAAATCATTTTCAAATAAGTTTAACTAATATATTTTATTTTTAAACCTTTAAAGTGTTTTATTTAAATAAGAGAACTCAACTGACTTCAAAAATTTAAGAACTTGAATAAACTACATTTTTTCCTCGTAGGTCACGAAACACACACGTATATGTGTTTTACTTGCATTTCTTATATACAAAGATAAATTATATTTTACTATTTGAATAAATTCTCAATTCTAGTAATTAACATTGGTACAGATGTTATATTGTTATATTATATATATATATATATATATATATACTATTTCCTATAATGAAAAGTTTTCGTTAGAAGCCACACTCGTTACTCTTATAATTATTCTTCAAATGCCTAATGTCCTTAACTGCGTATAAATCTATGATATCTATTATACTCAAATAAAACACTTTAACGGGTTAAAACGTATATATTAGTTAAATTATTTTAAATTATTATTTTTTTACATCTATAATACAAGTACAGCAACGGGACAGAACATTGTGATCGTGGATTCGAATAAATCCGAAAAATTATTAATTTATATAAGCTAGCATGTACCGTGTAAAAATATAAGCTTTCCTGTAAACTATGAAAAACACATTGTTTATGAAAATCATGGTTATGTTTATTGAACCCTAAAATTATGTTAGTATACGTATTTTTCTCCTCTTAATTAGGCAATTTTTAATTGTTATCAATTCGATAGCATAATGTCACAAGTGCATCGATCGAGTTTTAATACGTACAGTGTCAGCGCGATGTGAACCCGGCTATCACGAAAGAAGCATGCAACTACCATGCAGCTATGGAAAGTTCCGCATCCGCTCATTAATAAGGACAGCTGATATTAATATCCGCGTTATTTAAATCAAATTTTAATGTCCTACGCATGAACATACATCGCATGGACTTCGTCTGAAATTCGGGATACGTTTGATATCCAGAATTGCGATAGGAAGGTATTATTGTGGTAGGAATATCGAATACCGTCCGGACGAACCGCCCTCATCAAAAAAAGCCGTGAAGACTTAATCGCGCTTCGGTGTCAGTCTTTGGATTTCTGAATTTCCAAAACCATAATAGATCGACCGCGCATCTTGTTTAGACTTTTATATGGCTGGGGTATTTC